TGGATTTGGGTACAGTTCTCTTTGGAATATGGGCATATTTAAAGCCATTTGACTTAAACTTTGAGCCCTCATTATTAACTCCAAAAAAAGAGAAACCATACAGTTCCATGTCCTATTCCTTTTATTAAAGTGTTAAATATTACGTAAGGGAGAGAACCAAAGACACTTTGCCATTGAGCTTGAGATTATAGAAAAAAGAAAGTGGAATCATGGCTGTTTCCATCTATTAATGAGACCAAATTGCAAGGGGGCTGGAAAGTAGATGTTAAACTTAATATGTCCTTCTGTAACTAAGGTAGATATTGAAGGCAGTTTTGTTTGCACTGGTGGGTCTTATGCAGTCAATCCCATTGAGTTCAGTTCTCAAAAATCTGGATTTCTTGGGGAGGTCCAGATAGTTGAGTGGTAGAGGTCAAGGACAATGACTGGACACAGAAACTTAGTAAGGGTCATTGTACCATTTTCCTGTTAAATATTCTGTGAGGAAGTCATAAAAACTTTTCACTAGAGATTTATGTTAAGATGATAGGTTCAGCCCTGAGTTTATTTCCCTTGCCTTCTCAAAGTTTATTTAAAGCGTATTAAAGACATGCACTGTTATGAAGTCTAATCATTTGTGTATTATATGTCCTTGTGATGCTTTTTCCAAGTCAGTTCCTTGACTTTCTCTGGAATTTTACATTCCTATAAAAGCATGTCATACTTTGTAATGTTTATTTGATTTTTGTTTTTGTGCTAGGTGTTATTTAGGTTTTAGATCTTTATCCAGAATGCATGTGTGTACCTAAGGTTTAAAAACATCTTTTAAATACCCCCAATAATTTTTTGAACAATCTTTTCTTTCTTCACTAATTTATGTGCCTTGCAGGACGTCACTGCATCCCTTTACACTATGGGTGTCTCTGAACCCTCTCTCCTAGTTCCATATATTTGTCTATTCTTGAGACACCACCTCTGTGATTATTGTAACTTTTCGAATATGTTGATAACTAGAAGGAAATTCCCTTCTTGATTAGCCTCCATCTTTGAACTTTTCTTTGCTATTAACATTTCCAGATTAATTTTAGAGTTCACTTGTTAAGCTTCCAAAAAGTACCTCATCAAAAAGTTAATTAAAATTGTGTTGAATTTTCAATAATCAATGATATACACAAAAAATTTCTCAGAAATAAAAAAAAGGAACAAATTTGAAAGGTTTTTTTTGAAAAGATTACATTTTCCTAATTAAAGTCAGTAAGTGGTAATTCTTATAATTTTACATTTTTGAGGGAATGATTATCCAAGCCACAAGAGGGGAAAGAGAAGTTCTTTTCTCCTCAGTTAATTTTTTTTAAATTTATTTTTAATTAATTTTTTTTTTTTGGTCATAGTTCTCCCCTCAGCTGTAGTTCCTGTAGTGACCCCTCCCTAGAGTTTTCCCCACACCTGACCCCTCTCCCTCACTCTCCCTTGCTGTTTCCCTGGAGTTGACGGTCAGTGTGCTCCACAGTCAATTTAAAGTGGTTGACATGTGGCATATTCTCAAGGGTCCAGGGCATGACCCAGACAGCTGTGCCCAGTCAAGCTGTCACTCACTTCTGAAAGCTGCCAAACACAGTCTGAGATCTACAAACTGTGGCTTCTTTTACTAAGCGCCTTCCTGCCCACAGGCCTGGAGGGCATATTCAGAATGCCGCTCACTAGAGACTAGTGAGAACTCTTGAAAAGGAATGTGACTTTTGAACGGTACATGTGACAGCAAGTAAAACCAACTAACAGTCAGGGAGATCAGTCACTCAAAATACTCCCATACAGGCCTGTGTATGGGAGGGGCCAGTGGGGCTGTGAGGAGCTTGGGCACACGGAGGGAGGGGGGGCCCAGGCTGGTTCTATGCTATTGTTGAGGAACACAACGTACAACTATATAGCAGAGATATTTTACGGGTGTGGAGAGGGGAATGGGATCAAAAATGTGTGTGTGTGTGTGTGTGTGTGTGTGTGTGTACACAGGTCTTTAGATTGGTGGTGGGAGCACAGGACTTTAGATTGGTGGTGGGAAGTCCATGGGGATTACAACCGACATGGAAAAATGCACAAAACGAAGAATGACCAAAGATTGTAAAGCAAGACAGTATTTCTTTTTTCTGTTAGGAGAGAAGGATCAGGATAGGCTGGTGGTAATGCGAGGGTCGCCATTATGTTTTCTCTGTGGATTAGCAAATTGGCATTCTGGTTTCACACCTCAATCGTTGCGTTTTATTAGTATACATCAAGAGCCTTTCTTCAAAATGTTCATGTAACAGTTCCTGCTCAACTGTAGAGGTTAGGATCCGTAAATTGTGCTAGAAAAATTCACAGTCAAGTAAACATGTGTCCTTTTAAGAAAAAGGAGGACACACGAGAGAGGTCCCAGGGAGCTGTTGTAGAATATTTTACCTTTGCTAAAGTAAATAATAAATATTGCTCCATATGAATAGTGTGAATAACGTTTTGATCACTACTCACTTCAATGAGATGTTGCACGATTCATTTCTGTTTCCTGTGTTTCTAGAGTCTTTTCTGTACCTCCTTTTGGTAGCACTTCAGCGAGTCACCTGAAACTCTCTTATTAGACCCCATGTGGGAATATGGCTTTCGAGTAACCTAGTGTGAGAACCAATCATCAGCTGAATGATATTCAGATCATTCAATACTCTTTTGACAACTTAGGAAAGGGGCTGAGAAAGAAGATCCTGTGTGGTGTTCTGGCTGTACAGACAACACTGTCATAGGTAGCAGGGGACAGAAATGTCAGCCACAGAAATAACCACTCCCCAGTGTGTCGGACACTGTGCTGCTCAGCACCCGCATGTGCCATCTGCTTTAATCCTCAGTAAGAAGCACTAAAGCCCATTACAGTTCAGGAGACTGTGGCTTAGAGACTGTTAACAGCTTGTCCAAGATTTCCAAGGGTTTAAGTTAAATTTTCTTAATTCTTATATTTGCTCATATTCTTGATAATTTCCCCAGTGTTCTTTATTTTTTTAAGATTTGTCTTATTTATTTATGTATACAAGAACTGGGGTGTAGACCAGAGGTGTCAGGGGTGAGATGATGTGCCAGGAGCAGAGTGGGGAGCAGAACAGGTTGTATGTGCAGAAATGCACTGCTGAGGGGAGCAGTGGTGGAGACAGTAGAGGTCCGCTGGATCTGGCTGGGGATAGAACTTGTGCTGCAGTGGCTGCTGATAGCTTGATAGCTTTGAGACTTAATCCTTGCACCACCAGGTATTCCCACCCCCTAGTGCTCTTTAGAGAGAACTAGTAAGAAATTTACCTATCATCATCTCTATCTATCTATCTATCTATCTTATCTATCTTATCTATCTATCTATCTATCTATCTATCTATCTATCTATCTATCTATCTATCTATCTTATCTA